TGCAGCGCAAGTCTACTGGCACTATAAACCCCTGCGCAAGTCACCGTCCCTGCTCCAACCTGCTGTGGGGCACACGGTGGACATCATCGAAATCGATGGTCGAACTGTCATGCGCGATCCGAGCATGCTTTCAGTCTGACCTCTATAATTTCAAGGTCAGTTTAGGCACGGAATGCGATACGCAACACCAAACTGCTTCCTAGCGTTTAATAGGTCCTTAATCTTCATGACCCTGCTGTTCACAGCAGCTTCTGTTTTATGTGTAATTCTCACACCTGGTTCCGCAATAATGCACTCAGTCGCTTATGAAACGTCCTTCATGTAGAACAGAGCATCCCATTGCTGACAGAAGCGAGCAGGCGAGTTCCAGGAAGCAGTGCAGAAGACGAAGATGCGATCACTGGAACAAGAAATTTATTGGCCTGACGTTTCGAATTCTCACTGGAACCCATCTGCGACTATCTCTGGTGATGGGTTCCAGTGAGAAACCGAAACGTCAGGCCAATACATTTCTTGTTCCAGTGATTGCATCTTCGTCTTCTGAGAGCATCCCATATTGTCAGCGGTGCTTATTACTTTAATAAAACGACCCAAAGCGTCCGACCTATCCACCACGTAGTCCGGCATTACCTCATGTCACATGTATTACAGTTTCGATGTCCAAGTTTAAATTATTTGGAGTGGAGGACTATGGAAAGTAGCAAAATGGTTGAGTTGTGAAACGTGAGCTTTTTCGCTCTGAGACACAATTAACTGTGCTGTTAAAAAAAATTTCGGTTGAACAACTTTCAAATCCACCTAATTTCTGTAATTAGATGATGCTTGGCCTAGTCCGTTGTTGCGCCAGTCCGCCCAATCAGCAGGATTTGAACAAAATTATATCTGAAGACGAGGTGGCGAGCATACGTAGCTTTCGATAAATTCTCGTCGGGCCAGTACAGTTATATGGGAACAGGGTAGAAGTAAAACATGTCGGCGATAAGAGAAATCGATAAAAGCTCGCCTTAAAACACAGGTGGGTTGTGGGAATGTGGGAGGAATGATATCTGAAAAAGGGCACCAGTCAAAAGAAACGATATTGTTTAATCGTTCAAAAAAATAACCACCTGATAAACCGATTTCAGTTATGAGTATTGTTGTCTGCGGACAACCAAATAAATTAACATTACATCACTTCTATGGTCCGGGAACTTTCGATTTCTGATTGCCGGAAGACTGAGAAAGCAGCCAACCGCCGAGTTCCACACTTTTGGAAGACTGCATAAGAGCGCAGTTAGCAGAATTTTCAGGCATGTACCGGCATATCCGATTTCCACTCGGTTGAGCAAGTCATAAGTGTATCGTCGCTCAGTTACGATAGTGCTTACGAGTAACGCCAGCTCTTTGTGGATTGGGGGGAGCTGAAATGTATCTGCGAGCCTTCACAGTTAGGCGACCACGTGACATGCTCCAGCGGTTGCCATGTCAACACGTTGGCGCGGAAAAACAGTTGGCACTGGCGCCAGAGGAACCCAAATGCTAATTAAGCAACCTTTCATGCAGATAAAACCACATTTTTTGTATACCAATTTTCACAAAAGGTTCGACGCCCCTCTGTGTACACGTTGTATGCTCACGGGTAAAGGACTAAGTTAGCATCGGTACAGCTAATTATTTTGTGCTAAAGATGGTTCTTGCACACGGCATATAGGCCGACGTCAGGAGCAAGTTAAAAAGAAAATTCGTCCTATTTTTGGCATGTATAATGAGAATAAACAATACTTTGTGACCGTTAGGCCATCGTGATCGACGCTATCCACCATGTGCTCCACGGTGGAGTGAGAGTAGACATGGTGACTTGTAAGTAAATTAGACTGTAGCGGCAGTGGACTTGCACTGCATCTACCGCACTCTCTCCTCCTCTCTCACCTGGGCAGCGGGAGAGAGCGCAGGTGGCTGGCACGGCTGGATCCGCACCTTCGGCGCACCACCACAACAAACACTTGACGAGGATTTTATCCGACAAAAAACGGGAGGTTGCAGGAATCCTAGCATGGGCGACGTATGGCGACGATTGGGCTTGCCACCGCACTCCCAACACCGGCATTTGTTATAGGTGCATATTCATGGTAACGCCTTCCAGATTCCAATGTGGCCTCCGAGTTGGTACAGCAAATCTCTCCCATAGAGCATTTTGGACGATGACAATTTTAAAAATTTAGAGGTGAGTTGGCAGATTTCAAATAATTTGCTTTGACCCAACTGTGAAAAACTCGGTGCCTCGGTGGAAGTCAAACCTACGACAGCAAGGGGAGGCTTAAATAGAGCCAACGTTCTAACCTCTGCATTACGTGAGCCTGGTAGTCATCTGATAGATTCTGGATTCCAGTACTTAGAAAACCTTCTTACTGTGTCAGATTTGGTGGAATCCAGGCGTTGCAGTAGGTTGGGCAGGTAAACCTGACCCAAATGCCTCGCGTCGTCCGGTGGAACCACGTGGTTTAGATGGTTAGAGAGTTGGCTGTACTAAAGCCCTCCCCTTTATTCGTGGGTTCGAATCCCACCGGGTTATTTGCAGGTGGGTTAAAGTTAAATTTTAAAATAATGGTAATAGACACAGTCAATCAGTCGTGCAGTGTTTTACATGGCACCATTTCCTACTTCAATGCGTTTTGTAATGCCTCGTTTGTAAAAGTACTTAGGCCATTAAAGTAGTCGGGAACCAACTCAGTTTCAATCTCATCTATTGTTTTCGATCGCAATTCATTAAAATGATTAAATAAAGGCCTAAATAAAAGATCGCGTGCAGCAATTTTGTAGCAGATCTTACGTGACCTTTACAGTGTGGGGGGATGGACATTACCCTGTTGGAAGTTGGTTGACGTCGATTGGTGCTCAAGGCGAACGTTTCCTCTCTCTCTCTCTCTCTCAGTGAAATTTTGTTATTTCCGGTAATTGTCCGTCACTCAGGCCCTCCTGTAGGGAATCTAGATCCATTGACATTGACTGGTCTAGAAATACAAGGTAGCTGCGGTTTATTTTCTAATCAAATTCCTCTAGCTGATTCTTACTGACTGTTGAAATGTAAAAATAGAAATTCTTTCGGTGGAAAATGATTACTCGCCTTGGTACCCAAGAAGGGCATTTCGCTTCTCTACAACAGCATTCAAACGGCAACGTTGTGGGCAATATATTTCATTACGGATGACTCTTTCGATGAAGGCCTCCTATTGGTTCCGGATCTATTTGTTTCCTGCAACTGATTCACCGACGACAACATTTGAAGATATGATGAGGGATTAATTTCTAGCCGCAAGTAACCACCCTGTTTATAAATGTATCTAAAAACTGTTGACTAGACAAAGAATTATAGAAAGTGGACACGTCCTTGGCGATCCCCTCCACACAGATGTGCGGGATTGATATTACACATACTGGGCCCTATGTAATCCTTTTTAATTCTCCTGCGCTGGTTAGATAGCCACCTCGAAGGAATATTTCAGTTCCCATAAATTGTATTACTTCGCTATTATGCTGGTTAAACTGACAGAAAGACGTGACAAGGATGAATGAACATGAACATGTTGTCATTCGAAGAGGCAAACTGTATTTTTTCTCCGCCCATCCATCTTCCAGAACGGACAACTTCCTAATCGGCCGAGTATCGGTCCGGACCAATCAGATGCAGGAAGCATGCCACTTAAACTATGTTTATTTAGATAACCAATCAGGAACGTTGACGGTGTCACATCTAAGTGGGATGTTTACATTTAACTGCCCCTTATGTTCTCTGCCTCCGAGCCCGAGCGGGAATTTTCCACCGAAAGTGTGATTCTTGCTCATTAATACTAAGACATTATTTAGGAAATCAATTTTTTTCTATCCATGAAAACATTTGGTTCATGCTTCTGCGTCTGCTGATGTTTGCACATTGTCTACGATGAATCGATTTAGGCGTTGGTTATGGAGACGAGTGACCTAGCATGGGGATACACTTGGAGCGGAATTTGATTTCGTGTGGGTGTTGAATCCTTTAGCACCAACGCAGAACCACGTGCATTTCTGGCGTTTCGCATATGACGGTTTATTACAAACGACTTGTTTGGATGGATTTAAGCTATATAAGTAGGCAGGTCAACGTCCGCCTTACTGAGTCTGGTCTTTTATTAGACTGAGGTTACTGCCGAATCGTTCGGGCAGGCACGGGGATTCCGACAGGAGGCAGAATTTCACAAGTTTGCGTGAATTTGCAAACGCATTTTGACGTTGTGGTAGAAATGATTTTATTGGAAATGATAAAATAAATGTATTGTGAATTTAAGCCCTACACTTGGCCTATGACAACCGCAGCTTCATCATGATTGGAATACGGCCCTCCTACGGTTAGAAAAACCTAACTTGTGCAAACAGCTAGATCACATGATGGATCTATCCTCGCGCTCGACGTTCGTCGTCCTTAATTTGCATAGACCTTTTTAAAGG